TTTTTTTTTTTTTTAATAAATTAAGTAAAAACCTCAATGCCTTAGATTTAGAACAACATTCTCAGTACACATGGTCAAAACAGAGGTTAACTGCAGTTGCTAAAGAGTCCTCATGAAGCCTCATAAACAGGCAAAGAAAGAGAGGATTTACAGGACTGGAAGCTGACTGTTCAAGCATGAACACATGGCACAGCTTCTTGCCAGCACTAGGCATCTACCCTGTTTGTCCTTGTTTGTGCCTTGAGGTAGCTTTATTCCGAGCACAAAGAGGGAGACAGTGTTTACAGCCAGGTGTGTAAACAGCCTCCCTTCTTTTCAGCAATATCTGAATTGTGGTTATTTAAATGACAGTTCATTCTCTGTGGTTCAGTGATGAAATCCAGCATTTCTCTCACCTCCTCCTCCTCCTGTGTTTCCACTGCAGGGCCATTGTGGGCCTCCTGGAAGAGAAGCTTCTTCATTTTACGATACTGCAGGTTGTCCAGTTCTCTCACTGCATCCTTTGTTCTCTGAATCAGGTCTATTAACACTGTTTCGGGTCGCTCTCGAAGAACAAACATGTGCTGCAGAACACAAACAGGTAAGTGGCTCTCATGCCTCCAATGCACATGCTTTGAGCACACAGTGATGAGCTCTAGTTGGGTTTGTCAGCCCTCTTCCCTGCACAGGAGGAGAACACCTTCACAGCTAACACTGGTAATATTTTCAGACTTTGCAATCAAGATAGATTTCAGAATGATTGTACCAAAAAATAAAGGCGTAAAAACCCAGAAACAGCATTTTTACATGCCATGAAAACTTGCTCACTATAAACTTACACTTCAGAAACACCATCTACTAGTGGTTTAGTGAGGGAAGAGCAACAAATACCAAATAAAAGCTAAAGCTGCTAGACTGGCTAGTATCTTTAACCAAATGTTAATTAACTCATCAGCTAACTCTCAGTATAAATCCCATTTCCTTGTTTAGAAAAGCCTGGGAATCAAATATTCATCATACAGCTCTGAGTCATAAAATAGGCTGTGAACCTTAGAGCTTGGTCCTGGAACAGTTCCCCACGTTCTGCTCCTCTCTTGGAGATATTCACCACATTTCTCTGCAAAGGTGCTATATTTTACCCATAGGTAAAGCAAGAACTGTCTATGTATGTCAGAAGCAGCTTTTGCAGTCTCCAGATGCAATGTGCTGTGGAAGCATGAGTCATTATTAACACCACCACTACTTTCATTTTGTTCCTTTGGAGAACTGCAATGCTGTTTCCAACATGGCACATTCCCTACCTGTCCCTGTAAAGTGGCATGCAGCTGTTTCAGACTATAGTTATGGAAGGAATACATTTCCAAACGTTTAATTTCCATCAATGTTCTCTTTAATTGCAGCACATTGCTCAAAATAAAACCAATCTGTAGAATTCTGAAATGGCAGGACTACACACCCACACCGAAACCTTTCCTGGATAATTGCATTTACTTTCTGAATAGACAGTTTTCAAAGAGGCACAAGTCCCCAGAGCCATTTTTAGGTAAAACCATGCAAAAAGGTGCTGATAAAACCCTCATAAATAGCATCCATTTCCCTGCAATGCAAAAAATTTGGAAAAACACTGTTTAGCAGAAGCAGGGCCAGGATAAAAGAAACCCAAAATGTCAGAAGCACTGTAAAGAGAATGACAAGTTAGCAAAATTCTGAATGCCACCTGATGCCACAAAGGAAATCCACCAAAGTCACACAAAAAAGCAGCTCCAACACCCAACTTCTCTGAGTTCTGTTCACATGCCAGCCTTTTGCAACAATCTACCCCATTGGCTTTGTCTCCAGACTACAGTGAGCAAAGCCAAGTACCTGCAGCACTCAGGAGCACAAATGAAGAATTAAAAAAGAAGCTAAGAAATAAAGCAAGAAAAAGCCTGCAGACTGCTGAGGCTTTTTCATGCCAAGGAAAAATAGAGGGAGGAAAAACTGGTTTCTTTTTGCCTTCTTTTCCCAAACAGTGGATTTCAGGTACTGCATAAAGCACATTGGAGTGTTCTCTAGCACAGAACACAGAGGGAAGTAACAAAAGGTATTTGTTAGCTAATGCATGGCAGCTCTGTCAGGATTAATTATAATCACTGGAATGATTGAGTTTATAAACTAAAACTCTCGAAAAGTTGATGGTCATCCAGTGTCACCTTGGTGGAGAGACCTTTTATGCTGAGAACTCCAAGGCTGGCTTGGAAAGTCACCTGGGGAACACTCTGAGACACTGCAGACAGGCAGCAAAGCCAGGGCTGCCAGCTCAGTACATCCCACAGCACTCACAGCTCAAAGGTGTTTGAGCATCATTAACCATAACCTTGTACAGTAGGTGAGACAAACCATCATCACAGGGCACAGTCCCTTTTAATACCACATGGAAAACAGAAAGGACAAGCAAGCCAACCTTCAGAAGCTCCTCTGATGTAGGCCTGTCTTGAGGAATTTTCTGGAGGCAAGAATCTACGAAGTTTCGAAAATAATCAGACCTGTGTCAAGGAGAGGAAAAAAAATCCACCAAAGTTAACAACCCAGTTTAATTCATTAAGGAGTCAAGATCCTCACATCTGCTTGTAGCTCCTAGGCCAAGAACTACGGTTCAGTAAACCATAATTAGGAAGTTTTTAACTTTTGAAATTAGTTTACTGTATTTGTTGTTTTCAAGACAGTTGTTGAGGCTGGGAGGCACAAAATGCTACTACTGTGCTTTATTCTTCTGAAGTTTATGCAACAGACACTTGCCACACACAAGCTGTGTCTTCATCTTGCAAAGCAATCCTTCAACAAAACAGGATTTAGAAATTGACAGTGTGGTTTGTGATAAAAAAAACCTAAACCCCACAGTTTTGGCTAGCTTGGGAGCTTCAGAAGTTTACTGACCCATGGACGGAATTTTTTACAGGATCTTAAGCTCTTCCAGCAGCCTGTCCTATTCCTACTACAGTGAAGGGTCTCAAACATATATTTAGTAATTGGTCAATTTTGTGTACAAAATGTATAGTGAATCTAATGAGAACCTTCCAGCTCACATCCTCCCAACAGGACTCCAGCCATTTCAAGAACTCAGCATGACAAAGCACTCCATTTACAGCCATCCCCTCCAACATTCCTCCCTCAGCAATACTCACCATTCATTAGACTGTAGTGTAGGGGATTCATTCTGCGCTATGTGATATAAGGCACTCATTGCGTTCATGTTAAACAAAGGAGGCTTCCTTTCCGCTGCACACAAGAGAAAAGAACTTTTTATATAGGGAGATAGTCTCATGTTGTTGCTCTTTTTATTTATTTTTTTTTTTTTACAGTTTACATCTCTTTAAAAAGAAAACCACATCAGCAAAATCCCTACTGCCTGAACATGGAACCCCAAACCAACCCTACCCTGCAATCAGACAGATATGTTGGCATATGTCCTGTGCCATTGCAGAAGATGAAAGCCCTTTGAAGATCAAATGCCTTGTCCTCTCAAGCTTTTAAATTACGTGGTTTATCATAGTTGAGTTCTCTGACTCATTGTAATGTACTAAAATAGGAGTAAGTTAACAGTAAGCTCTACACTGGGTATTTAGCCACTAAGCATTCCTGGCTTCATACACCCCCCCTTTGTTTTTTTTAATCTACAGTTGCTAAAAAGCTAAGAAATATTTATTTCTAGCAGGATAGCAGTGATGAAGAAAATGCTGGTTACAAGAACCATCAAATCACACTTAACTGACTAAGCACATGGGCAGGAAGTCAGCAACAGGCCAACTCTTTATACTATTTTGAGAGTTGCCTTCTCTCTTTGGCTCTTCTCTCTTTCAAGCTTGTATTACTCTTATAGACTGACACAGCATGAAAGCCTAATGAGGAAGGAGATGATCTCACTGTAACAACAAAATTGAAGCTTCATCAGAATGTTTATGGGGCAAACTTTATAAAGCTCAGCCTTGCCATAGACATTCCAGAGAACTGGTCAGGCCACGAGGATGTTCCTAACTACTGAAAATGCAACAGAAAACTTTCCTTCCTCAAAAAAATAAACAAGGAAAAAATAATGCTGCTTTTCTTAGTCTGCTCAGTTCTGAGTTGAACAGTAGCACTGAACTATGGATCAGAGATCATGGTACACTCATGGCTATGGCAGGATGGACTAAGCCCTACAAATTCCTCAGAACGGGTAGACTGAGGACTTAAGTCTTTCCTCAAATTCAGCACTTTACCTCCTCTAATCTGTCAGATAACTAGCTGCTGCTATCAAGGATCAGACACATTATTCATTAAACTATTTTAACTGACTGTTCTCTCTACCATTTTTTTCCTCTTAGCTCATCTGAATAAAATAGAAATCTTCTGGAAACCCTGAAACCGAGCCCTCAATAAGACCATTTCTAAGACTAAGTGATAATTTGAGAAGACTACAAGACATCTCATTTCCCTGCTGCCTTCCCATGCTTACTCAAAGCAACACAAATGAGCCAGGCATGGACCCAGCCTACACTGCTCTGCTGTCCTGACCTAGTCTCACCTCCCACCACGGCAGCAGCCGCAGACGAAGCCCAACACGCTTCATCCTGCAAGAACGCGGCGTGCAGGACTCCCGGGGGTGTGGTGGCCATGAGCTCACTGCATTCCTGGAGCCCTGCAGCCAGCCAAGTCTCCTTACTCCACTCAGAGCAGGATTCTGTCATGACAGTCACACCCCTTCAACTTGCTTTATATTGGCAACCAAGAAGCAAAAAAAAACAAAAAAAAGAGCCCAACAAACAAAATCTCTGCTCTGAAGAAAGAATCTATTTCGCGTCCTGGAAGAAAATGAAGTTGACAGTTTGGAATGCCAGACAGCATTTTTAGCTAAACTGTGCAGTTCACATGGATTAGTGTGTTCCTGAGAGCTCTCACTGCCTGGCTGAGTGCTCCTCCATGGAGGATGGGTTGGAGCAGGAGCAATCAGATCTGACAAGGATGGGAGGACAGCCTCAGGTGCACGGAGCAGTGGCGTGCATGGTGTGCTGCAGCCAGGGTGTTTTTGTTCCAAGAAAACATGATGTGTTAAATTTAAACAGAATGCCATACTAACACTGTCCCTTTAAACTCACATCCTGCTTTAAAGCTTTAAAGGGTCTGTTCTATGGCAATGCAATGCCATCATTTCTTTAGGCTTTGAGTTTCAGGTTACCACTTCAAAATTGGATTATTTAGTATCTTTTTGTTTAAGGAAAAAAAATCTATTCAGAAGTGACAACACACACTGAATACAGCTTTGAAGTTGTCAACTTCTCCAGAACTTCATCACTGCAAAATTTTTAATGTATGTTAAATTTTCACAGAAACAATATCAACTTAGAGCACTAAATAGATCTCCACACTGGTACCCTTAATGGTTCACTTCTAAAGCTGCTCAGCAATTGACTGTTTTTCAGTTCAGAAGTTAACTGCCTCTCCCACGGAATGTGAACACCCTTAGTGATATCACTTGGCCACTCTCTTTGTCTATATAACTCTTTTTCTTCAGGTAATGAAAACACCAGTTCCATAAACATCAAACTGGAGACTTGGTCTGGAATTCTAGAAAGCACATTTCACTCTCTTTTCTAAAGCTCAGGGCCCAGAGAAACCAGGACAAGAAAGGGAGCACAAATCTTCCGCACTGTGATTCAACTGAATAAATTCCAGGTATTAAATAATAACATTTTAATTTTTTTCAAAGGAAATAACTTACCTAACTCAATACAGGTAATTCCAAGAGACCAAACATCTACTTTGCCATCATACTGCCCTTCATCCATGGCTAAAATCACTTCTGGGGCCATCCTAAGAAAAGAAACTGGTGCTCAAAATAGGCAGTGGAACACATTATCTCCATCAGTATGAAAAAGCTGTTTCCCTGATTTCAGCCACCATAAGCAAATATTCCCCAAGCTATCAGGCACGACCATGGGATACTGGGAGAAAGACCAGGCACCCACACTGGTGCAGGCCTGCAGAGGCTGGGTGATGTTCTCCTGTGCTTGCCCAGCTTTCCATTTGTGACTATCATCACCTTCTCACCCTCCCACATTTCCAATAGTTTAGCTGGCTGACCAACTGTGGTGAAATAATTATAACATGCAGTTGAGTAAACACCACAGATTAGGTGTAAGAGATCAAAAGCATACAAGGGATCTGCAAAGGGGTGGTTCAGTGAACCTGGCCTTTCCTATGGAAGAAAAAACACTTCAGTTATTTCAACAACCAGACATGGTGAGAATACATGAATTGTTTAAACCACTGGGGGGAGTGATTAAAATATATTACAGATGATTCAATCCCACCTCTATCACTTTAGGTCAGTCTAAGCAGAAAGCAAAATGTTTTTATTACTTTTTGTGAACACAAACACAGGGATACACAATTTCTTGGAACTCAGAGCCTGCTTACTATTGAAACTGTTTTTTCTAACAAAGTACATTTTAATCATCACCACAACTGGAAGATTACAAAGCTAGCTCCAATAAACCCAAGTATATTAAATAGCCAATGCATGATCCTTTCACTTCACAAAGCCAGAAATGAGTAAATCTCTTGGCTTACCAATATGGCGTCCCCACAAATGAGTTGGCAGGAGATGCTATGGAAGCAGACCCAAAGTCAGCAAGTTTCACCTGTCCTGGCTCTGTCAGCAGGATGTTCCCTGCCTTGATATCTCTGGTGATAGAACACAAGTGTCAGTATTACTCCCCTCCTAAGAAGGAAACTCCCTATTGGACAGACTATGAAACACACCAATATTCACATGTTCAAGCTGCAAAATATTCACATTTCCTCCAAACACAAAGTCTTTAACCATTAGGTTAATTGCTTAAAGTGGCTCTTGATTTTGGATTCTTTTGTCTTACAGGTTAGTCTTGCTAGTTTTTAGACTACTACAAATCACTTGTTTGGAGCATATGGATACTGTGAAAAGCAAATCTCAGCTTACAATGTAGAATTTGGGATGGAGAGGATACAATCAACAAAACAAATTATGTGTAAGTGTGTATGAGACAGCAAAAGTGTAACTACTCACCTATGGATCATATTGTGAGAATGCAAGTATGCTAATCCCTGGAGAGCACCATGGGTAATTGCTGCTATTTCCACTTCTTGCAATGGCTTTTTATGAACTTAAGGAAAGAATTTATGTGAAATTCAATATTACAGAAAACAATACAGTTTGCAGCATGCAAGCCAGTACTGTTAACAATGTAAACAGAAATACTAAAAGTCCATTTTCACTGGGTTCAGCATGAGAAGCAAATGTAAAAATAGTTCACAGAGTACATTCTATAATCAGATGTAATCTTCTAACTGTAAACCAGCAGCTATTTACTACCAGAGGGACCATTCTCCAACCATAAACTGCATTCCTGTCAGTTATGTGACCAGTCTCCCAAGTAACTTCTTGAGACTCAGTATTGAGTTTTCCATTAATGAGGTGAAACCCCAAACCCCAGAAATTTACAGCAATTCACACACAGATAAATTGTAGCAACACAGATCAGATTCTGGCAGCTCAGCTTTTGGTCCTGAAATGCTTCTGGCAAGGAAAGGAACAACTTACTGGCCACACATATCTCTTCAAAGCCAGGCCATTATAAGAAGTCTGATAGAAAAATGACCATTTAATGAAAGACCTCATCAGCACAACCCTAACCCTGCTGTAGTGCTATTCTAGTCAACAGGCCTACAGTTGTTAGTAAGCATTTGGATCAACAGCAAGGGTTTTCAGAAGTAAATCTTGAACTGTCATGGCAGGAGAACCTAAAACTCAGAAGCAAACAAATAGCTGACTTTAAAATAACACAAACTAAGGAGAAGCTAAGAACCTGGGAAAACCAATATTTTACAGAAAAACCACTACAACTATGCAAGAATTTGACAAACTGCACCTATTTATACACACTCTGGCCCCAAACAAAACTATAAACTCAAGGAAAATTCTGTAATGCTGTAACCCCCTAGTTCAGTACTCTACTTCTGACTTTCCATCAAATAAACATGTGTGATTCACTTACCTTCTAGTAAGTCTGATGCTGATCCTAAACAATATTCCATAACAAGCTGTTACAGGAAGAAATCAAAGTAGTTAGAAAATCTGTAATAGTGAAAACATGGTTTTTTTTAGACTTGTACGGAGAAATCTAGAACTAATCCCTGGAGCACAGAGTGCAGGTTGCCATAACAAAGCAAATATTGCTTTTACCATAAACTCCATCCCAGCACTGTCACACTGACCCCTCCCACAAGTACAGCTCTAACTGGAATTAAGCATAACCTTCCTGTGTAAGATACCAAGCAACACCACTTGGAAGGAAGGCTAAAGCACATTCATGACCAGTTAGATATTGTATTACATATCATATTTTATATGCACATACTTAACAGGAATGTTAAACTGCACTTAACAAGCTTATCAGAGTATTAAAGGGCTATTTAGGGATTTACTTAAGATTCTGTCCCAGACAGATTTCAAAAAGAGAAACTAAAACTTTGCCCTACAGATTTATTGAAGCTAACTCACAAAACAGTACTTACAACTTAAACTATTACTTCAATAATATTATTTATTTAATATTATTATTTCTTTAGTATATTGCACTACAAAACTTTATTAGTGATGGGTGCACATTATTTCAAATACTCAAGTTTATCCAGCTAAATACACTAGAACAGCAACACTTAATCTAAGCAAAAAGGCAAATTTCCTTAAATCTTGGTTCCAGAAAGTACATTCAGTTTGTTGAGCACCTGTAAGGCCCTTGGCTATGCTCATCTCAGTCTGTACAACACCAGTGCTCAGGTGCCTCCCAAAATCCAGCTGGAGGGATTTCAAAGCACCTTAAAGCAAGGAAGAGAAGTGCAGAGCAGCATTTGCTTACCCATGCTGTATGCTCCCGCAGATAGCAGCCTTTGTATTCTATACTGTTGGGGTGTTTTATTCTTTGGAGGAACTTGACTTCCTTAATAATATCCTGCCATTTCTGTAGGGAATAAAATAAACAGAAAGACTTTCTAGAACTGTTACCTTGTTCTTGTTGTTGTTACTATGTAGTTTCATTATTTCAAGAGGCAAAACTATCTCAAGGTTCAAATCAAAGTAAGTTTGTATCAACACTATGATATTCACTGCTTAACTCTTCAGCAGACCCACAAAATAAGTTGCTGATCAATTAGGCTCAATGCAAGGATTTCTCATCAATGTAATGCTTTATGTTTATATATCTGTATGTGTGAACAGGATATACTGGTAAACACAATATCTGAGCAAGTCCTCAAAAAAGAAGTGATCCTCTACTAAGGGATAGCAATTCTGTTGTCCAATCAAACATACACCCCAACCTGAAAGAGATGTGGGTGCTAATTGTTCTTCAGTAGGATCAGCTGCCTCTCTCAAGTCTTGTTACTATAAAGACCTATCCCTACTAGTCACTATATTACACTGGATGAGCCTCCCTTTATCAGCTGTCAACTATCTGAGTACATTCTTGATAATGTTTCTCTATTACTAGTTTAATCTTTACGAGGGCCAATTTAAAATGAGTTACCTACCAGATAAAGGAATGGTTCTGCTGGAGAAAAATAAACAGATAAAACAAAGCCAGGTTTATAATAAGGGGAGCTCTGTTAGTGCAACTTTAAAGCACAGCAGAGGCCAAAATGTCAAGTTCCAACGTGTGCCTGGACACTGACATTGCTTCCCTCAGAGACCTCCAAGTCCCCCCATGTGCTGCACAACCACATCTCCTCAGGTAATAAAGGCACGAGTCTGAGAGTGCCACAGAAAAACTACAACCACAGAAAGTACCTTCGAAACCAAATGCAGTAGCTGAAATCATTAAAGTGTGCAGCCATAAATGTGTGTTGACACTGCAAATGTTTTTGAGCAACGGTATCAGTTGTGAAGTTAACCAGAGGGAGAGGAACCCAACACCAAAAGGCTCAAAAGTTGGTTTCCAGGTCCTGTTAATCTCTCAGCACACTCTTCCTCACGTGTTGGTATGTGGGTAGTACTCACAGAGGGACAGAGGGCCCCCTTCCCCAAGGCTTTGGAAAACATGTGCCAAGCCTCAATAAAAATTTTAGGGTTAGAGAAACACATGAAACCAGGGAACACAGAAGCCCACAACTGAGGCAGCTGATTGACTACATTAGGCATTTCTCAACACCAGAATTGCTACAGGATGACACAGTGCAGCTGCAGCACAAACTCTCTCACTGACACTGGAGTGACTTGGTTGCCTTTTACCTTCAGCCTTAAAGGCTTTGAGGAACTAAGTAATAAAAGCCAAACCAAGAAAGCACCATGTTAAATTTCTATACTGGGAAGAGAGAAGTCATGTATTAGTCAAGAAGTATTCATGATTTCCTGCATAAAAAAAAAGCTCCAAGATCACATTAAGAGCACAGTACTACATTTTTCAAAGGTTTTAAACCTATTCTTAGTACAAAATATGACATTATTTGAGAGAATAATTTTTTCCCACCAATGATAATATCTTATTATAAAACTAAATGATACCAGAATGCCCTTAATCAATTTTCTTTGCATCAGCTCTATCATAACTCCAGCGAACTTCTGAACAAAACAAATAAATATGGATGTAAAATAGAAAGTGTTTTAATCCTGCTCTTATTACTTTCTTCAAAATAAAGAAACATAAGCATTGAAGACAAACAAAAGCTATTTCTGAAGCATGCACAGTTTGTTTCATTCATGTGAATAGAGTATTTATAGCTCACAGTAATTAAAACAGTAGGACAAGTAGCAAGTACAAATTATTCTTTCATCAGTACACAGTTAAACAAGTCACCGCAGCGACAAAACAGAAACAGGCACAGCAAATTTAACTCTGAAGCTAGAATTCAGGACTGCTGGAGAGACACTGCCACCTCTACCTCCTACACAGACACACACACAGAGGAAGGAATAGTTCAGCCCCTTGGAGTGCAGATGATCAATACACAAAAGGCAGGCACAGAAAGCAATGAGCTGTTAGTCGAACTCATCAGAGCAAGGCTGCTGCTAAGATTGGAATATAGAGATTGGAGGGAGGGAACCATAAATGCTTTGGACAAAATGCTTATGAGAAATACCTCTGTTGAAAAATCATGCCATGATTTGATAGATGTTATTTACCAGAAATAATATCAAATTAGCTGCTTGTGTCATCTTGGGCTTTTCAAGAATCTGTATTAGCACTTAAATACTTCAAGTATAAAATCAGCTCTCTCTGCTAAGCATCCCAAGGAAAGGAGACACATCTGGGGTGGCCATGAAAACACTTAATATCTAAATCTCAGAGGCCCACTTCTACAGACCCTTCTGCAAAGACTGCCTTAATCCCTGGCTCTGGCAATTCTTGTGGAATTATGCTGCTGTTCAGATTTTCACACTCATTCATTCACCACTCTTTTGCCTTTGTTTCAGCTGCTCATGAGCACAGTCATTCAGGGAGGGATGCATTCTGCCTCACAACTCGGTACAAGCAAGGCTCCCTCTCACTACTGTATCCATTTCCATCATTCCTTTGTCCTGGATTTTGGAGACGTATTTAAAATGGAACATTTAAGGGCAGTAAGACACCAACACACAAACTCATCATTTTAATTTTTTTTCCTGTCTATACATTTCTGTGGTCCCAAAAAGAGCCTTTTGTATAGGTCCACCTCTCTTTTTTCAGGAGCACACTACACTGATATACAGAATACACAGAACAGTAAATACACTGAACAGTAAATTGATTTGTTTACACAGTACTCTTATTCACATTTGGAGTTATAGAAAATATATAGAAAATATTTCTCCTGCAGGAACCCAAGCTAACTAAAACCATCCCAATATAGTAATTATTTGCAATGATCAAGGTTTAATATACAACATGTTCTACATACCTCATTGGACTGCTTCCCACTATATGACATTTTCTTGATGGCCACCACTTCATTGGTGCGCACATCACGTGCCTGTAACAGGAAAACACAATCCATCAGCTCCTTCAGGCCCCAGCTTCCCATAAGATGCAAACCACACACAATCATCAAATAATTTCTAGTCTTAGTTAATTTTTGCAGAGCATTAAACTGAAATATCTTCCAAGAGGTGTTACTGCTGCAAGAATTAGAAACTTCTTTCCAAAGTGAAAGGGAGACAAGGTGTGATATTATTCCATGCTCAGCATCCACCAAGTCTCTGCAGGAGTCAAGCATTGTGACTTAAACTAAAACTCAGCTCTGATTCAAGTAGAAGGGATTTTCCCTAAATCAGCTTCTCTCCCTGCCCAGGTCCATTCCCCATAAAACAGAAGGAAGGCTCAGCCACCCAGTTCCATTCAATCCATGTGGAAAGATGTCACACAATGCACTGGAGACAGCCACCAGTGTCTGGAGCAGGTTTCTCCCCAGTGCTCCCAAGAATGTTGTGCCTTAAAGGAAGGCAGATGATACAGAGAGACACGGCAGCAATCCAAGTGACCCATCTTCAGATGAGGCTTCTCAGTTTCACAGTATTGTTATTTACACTGCACCATAAATGCACATGGTTTTTCACACTTCAAAGGCAAACTTCCTGACTTCAGACAGCAACAATGCAAGGCAAGGACTGGACAAGAAGTTTTGTTTCATTCAGCACCAAAGCAAGGGCTCATTCCCCACAGCAGGAGAGGCAGCACCTTGCAGGAAGGATGGCTCCAAATAAGATCCCAGATTTCCTCTGTTAGAGATTTCAGCAGCACAGGAGGGTGGTGGAGGAAAAGACCTCTGAGTCTCTCTGATAATAATAATCAACTTGGACATGAAGCCAAATGATATAAATCAGAATAATGTGCACCACAGCATTCACAGATGACTGATGAAAATGTTGACTTTTAATATATTTGTACTATCAAGCACAACCTACCAGAACATGGATTAATGAAGTACTAGGGCTCTGCCTTTTGTAAAAAGGTTTTTCAGTCATGTTTTAATTCTGCTGTTCATTAAAGAGATTCCCAGAATTCCTTACCAGTCTTTATTTCAACTGGCTACGATAAGGTTGAACCAATACTATTTTTACTTTTCTTTCTGTTTCAGAGGATCCTCTCACTGCTACTACCTGTAAAGTTGGGGGGGGCGATTATTTTTGTTGTTTGAAACAAAAAAGAATCAAATTCTGACTGTTAGATCTTTACTGACTAAAGACAATCTCTGAAACATTCAACTGTGTGAAGAACTGCCAATAAAGCAGAGAAGCAAAATACTACAGTAAAGCAGAAGGAACCCAGCTCTAACAAAAGAGAGTGGGTTATTCTTCTGCTCCATCTGCAGTGTTCCAGTGTAGTAGGTTTCCTGTGTCAAGCAAAAGCTATTATTACACTGCAGAGCAGGGAGTAGGGTAAGGATAATACCAAAAATGATTCAGAGGTGCCAGACTTGCAGTTTCTAAGAAACTAAAACCATGAGGTGAACCAGCAAAATTCATATCAATTATAAAAGGAAAAAAAATATATGAAAGGAACTTTCTGCTATGAAGGATGCAACAGAAACAAAGAGACAGGAGTAAGATCAATATATATCACCCATTGTTGGGAACAGTGCTAAAAGGGAAGGAAGATGGGCACAACTATCAGTGAAACCCGAAACTCTATTTTAAATTAGGTAGGGGAGATTCCAGCATTAAATGGATTTTTTATTGGGTAATTACCCCCACATCTATTCATCAACCACATTTTTTGGTGCAGGCTGCATGCCATGAAAGCTGCCTGGAGAGAGGATGCTTTGCACCAGAAAACCCAAGCAAACAACACCTGACAGAGTTTGCTGAACAGCTACAGTCCTAGAGAGGGAGAACTGTCCTGGCTGACACCCCAGAAATATTAAAATCACAGAGTTGCATTTGCTTTTTTTAGTTTCCCTGTGATCTAGGATAATTGAAAAACAATTCCTAGACAAAAGCCAGGAAGATGTGCAAGGGCAGGTCCCTTTAACCATCCAAATGAGCAAGGCTTGTTTCATGGCAGACATGTATGCACATATATCCTGCTTTCTTCCAAAAGCTCCACACAAAGGATCAACATCTGGTGACCAGAGTAGCTTCAGGATTGATACAGGCAAAGTATGCCCAGAGAAAAAGTGGAGTATGTCACTGGCTTCAGTAATATCATTTAAAGCAGTTATTAACTATAATCCAATATTATGTTAATTAGAGAAAGTTTAATTGTTTGCCGTAGCAGAATCAAAATTTTGTCAAGAAACTTAAGAAGTTTTATTTCTAGCTTTACAGAGGAATAAAGCACCCAAGAGACAGACTCCCTTATGCTTCAGTTCTTCATGCTTTCACATTAAATTTCCCTCTCCAGAGTTGTCTCTCTGATCTTTTGGGCTTCTGTTTGAAGGATGGGGCACATTGCATGGAACAGTTTCAGATTCAACATCTCAGAACCATTGGTAGTAAAAAAGACATAACACAAACCTTAGAGGTTTAAACTTCCTAATACAGAAACAGCAATAGAGTGTCTTTATCAGAAACCTTCTCTTGACAAAAATGAATCCCCTCATGGTCTGGGGTTGTGTGATGCACTACTTAGACTTGTCTTTATGCAAGTGCCAAATCGGAGGTACTTTCTGACAAAGAAGCACAATCCAAATGCCAGCAAGTAATTGCACTCTATAGTGAGTAAATACCGATCTATAATGAACTGGTGATTTAAAATGGTGGGGGAAAAAGAGAAAGAATGGCTAGAAATTAACGACCTCTGAGTTGAAACTGCTTTGGAGATGGAGCTGGTAATGGGCCATCAGCCCTTACCACAAGGACAAAGTTCAGGCAGGCTACAAAAACCTCATGGCAGTTTCCTGCTGGTGTTTGGGAATGCTGTTTGCTTCCAGCTCACAGCCTATCTGCAGCTGCATTTTGGGTTTCCATATCTGTGTGGTCCATGCGTGCCTCTGAAAGATACAGTGTTCCAAAAAATCTTCCACAATATTTCTTCAATAATATTTCCCCATAGCAGGAAGACAGATTTGTCAGTTCCCTCCCTTGATATTCACTCTTTAACCAAAGTGAGGTGAATTTAAGGCCACAGGTGAGTATTGTTTCGTTAAAAAACACTTCCTCCCCCAGATCTGTTCCCAGACAGTGGTGGCTCATAGTTTTAAGCAGGGAACAAAATTAAGAAGCTTTTCCTAATTAGTTCATCTGTGCTGTATTAAATTTGTGCTGGAAGGTTCCCAACATGGTCTGCTGCAATTATTAACACTGAATAGGCATTCTCATAAAATAGTGACACAAATGGCTTTCTGAAGGGAAATTGGCAGGTTTGGCCACACCTCCTATAATTATAAACGTGAAAAGGTTTCTGAGGAAAGTGTTTTTTAATGAAGGCCCCACAATATTTGGTTAGCACACAGCAAGCTGCACTGAGGTTGCCATGAGGATCCCTTCATGTCAGGTAAGTATTATGCAGATGGATACTGGGATTCTTGCCTGCAGTAGGAATGGATGTGACAGGACAAATGACAACAAAAGCACCCACACTCAGGTGTCAAACATAAAGAATGGCTTTAAGGGAGCCTCGGGGTATGCATAAAGGGGAAGAGAACTCAATTTCTCTCAAGGAACAAGAGGTGATAAGGAGATGATCAGACCAAGAGAAGTGCACTGCCAGTCAGAATTGATGGAGCAGAAGTCCACGTTTTAATTTGCACATAAATCCCTGCCTGCAACATAATGATGCACCTAAAGGGCAAGGACAAAGTTTCCAGGGTTTTTTTTTGTATGCAAACACCTCGCAGAGGCTGCAAGTTTGTGAAAGGATTGAGACCATACAGACACACAAGATAACATCTCTGCCCCAAACACCACACAAAAAAAGTCACAGTAGTTAGTTTCTTTTCCTCATTATGCTCAAAAAAGTCTACACCCACAGTTTAAAAAGTAACACAGCTAAAATTCACAAGTCGTGGTGCTACTTACAAAATAAACTGCTCCGAAGCTTCCATGGCCAATCTCTCGGAGATCTGTGAAGAGCTTTTCTGGATCTTCTTTGAAGAAGAGCTCTGCAATTTCGGGGTCCTTCAGGCTGCCCGCTCGGCTGGTTGATGGCATCCTGCTGGGCAGTCAGCCGACCGACTATCTGGGTTTAAAGTGCTGCTTCAACCCTTGGCTCATCTGTATGAATGGAGCCTCTTCAGCATGGATTACTGCAAGAAAAAGATTGCAATCCTTCACTGCTTGTCCTCTGCTCAAAGAGCCCCAAACAAGCCACAGCAAAGCAGCTTCCACTTCCTCCAGAGCAGGCAGCCCCGGTGCTGGGATAATGTCACAGCCCCACTGTGACACCAGTCAAGGACCTCATCTAGGACGGAGACCAAAATCAAAACACAAAATGAGGCACATTCCATGCTCCAGCATCTGCTCCATCACCTGCACAGCAGTCAGAAATCTCTGACCAGTTCATCACCAGTGAGTGCACATCACTGTGACACCCTCCCTCTGAAGAGCTGCACCCACTGGGTCCTAAAAAATTGTTTGGATTTTGTGCTGTCTATCACAAAGTGCCTGTTCTTCAGGGGTTTACTTGCAATCCTTTTCTCATAGAAACAGCATCCAGAACAGGAGATACCCAATTCCACACCCGCTGCTCCTCCTTCTGCTCTGCTTCAGCAGAGGCAAACACACATTGAAATTGTGACTGGCATTTGAGACAATGGACAATAGGCCATTGGCAAACCCTTTCTTCAGAGGAACTTGCAACTTCAGACACAACTGGGAATGTATAAAATTCTTTCTGTCTGCACCATGAGTTCACGTTCATTTACCACAAGCTTTGTGTCTTGGAATCTATCCAAAATAAAAGTATTCTGTTAAGTTGTGCTAAAATCTTACTATATCTTTACAACACGTGATGCCAAAAAACCACTACAAATAAAAAGCCCTTTTTCTCCTAAAGGGAGGTCTTAGGATTTCCTATCAAATCCCTGTAAATTATCACTAATAAAAACAATTCTGTCACTGGCAAACAGTTAATCACACATCTCTCTTCTTTCCAAAAAAAAATCTGTCTGGCCAAGAGTTGTGCTTTTTTTATTTTTATTTCATGTATCAAATTTGTTTTTTAAAAAAGTTGGAGGTTTATTTCCATTATGAAGATGTGAAGGACAAGAAGCCTAAGTTTAAACAACACATCAGAAGGCCCTGTCCATTTCTCCTCCCTTTCTGGACACTATAAACTCCACCTTTTTCCAAGCCTCTAGACCATCAATGAATCATTTGTTTTCCAGTCCCTGCAGAGGAATTCCTGCAAGGATGGAAAAAGACATATTCCTGCATGTTTGTGCTCAGTGGTTCTCCTCTCTGGAGAGTTGCAGCATGTGCAAGTCCCACAGCCTGCCTGCTCCTCGTTAGAGACCTCCCAGCATTGCTGCAGAGCCTGGCTGTGAAACAGCCGAGATGTACCTGGCTGTAAAATCCACAGCAATCTCCAGTTTTTCTGAGGAAAGCATGCATGGGAGAGAGAAAGCACAGAAGGGAAGCAAAATCCAGCATTTTCCTCCCAGCAGTCAGCATTCAAAGAGATTTATAATGCAACCCAGAATGCATTTCCGTGATCGCCCGCTCTCAGGGGAGGAGGAAAAGCTGACACTGAAATCCCAGTGGTGGACCAAGCAGAAGAACTTCTACACACATACAGAAAATATGCAGCTGCTCACAGCTCTGCCACACTGCACTGCTGAGCACTCACACATTTCCTATGATGCAGGATCACTGCAGGAGCCTTGGAACAACAGCATCTGCACACAGCTGCCAGGGAGGCCGAGTGGGATGCACAGGATCGGGACTGTGATATCCCCACCTTCCCTTGCATAACACCATAACTAATACTGTGTGGGAAGGGAAATAATTAGCTCTAGCTCAGCCCATACCTGAAGCACACTACATTTATGAAAGCTGGAGGAAAAGTGGGGTTTTTGTTATTTTTCTTTTTCATATATCAACAATATTCCACTTGATTCCAGCTCTAGCAAGCACATAACACTGAAAGACAACTGTTTCACATTTACAGCTCCCAACAAAACAATAGACAAAAAGCATGTCAGAAAAGCAAGAGAAAGGAGCTGGGGGAAGGGAGCTGATAACCAGAGCACACTCAGTATTATTGAAGGAATGTTTCTTGGATCGACGGTAATGATGTCATGTTCCATCTTTTAAGAAGCATCAGATTCTTACAAAAAGGACATTGTTGTTCAAAAGCAACTGCTGCAATCCCAGAATGCCCTTTTCCCTACATCTGTTAGTCAGAGGGGCTAGGCTTGGATAAACCTGCTAATATGGCCAAAAGTCACATGTCGCTGTGAGCGAGCGTGCGTGTGAGAGCCAGCGCGAGGGAAAAGCTGAGATGGGTTACAGCCTGCTCCCCCTCCCCAGGGACCCCCACGCCAAACCAGCCACCACACTCCTTCCTGCTGTCCCTTCTGAGCATGCCTCTGAAATGTCAGCAACAGGAACATTTCTTCCTGCAGCTGAAACTCCTACCAGGCCCACTGACAACACACACAGGCGTGGGATGGGACAGAGCAGAACTCCTCACCTACCGTGATACACCTTAAAATACATTTTTTTCCCCCTTTATTCTTGAGAACATCAAGAAAAATTTCATTATCTTTATCCTTGGAAATAATTGCTGCTTTGAAATGCATGAGAAAAAAACCACTATTAAGTATTAAAATCTATTTAACAGAATAGTCACAAACGTGTACATGACACTGTGCTTATCATTTGATCTCCTCAGATGGAGCAGTAAAATGCATTAATGTAAATTCCATCCATAAGAAATCCTTACACAGTCTCGCCTAATGAAGTGCTCCAATTTTTATGGATGCTACAATATTAAATTCCCTCTTCTTTTTACCCAGACAACAGGCACTGCCTGCCAAAGCCCAGCAGTGCCAGCAGCAGAGCTCTGCCTCCTGCCTTGCAGTAATGACACCTGAATGCTGTGGGGAAATGGAAAGCAGGAGAAGTGGCACACAAAGCAGCCATTGCATTATTTTAAGTGTATTAAAAATACAGGCGAGACTCAGGATTAGAACAAAAAAATCAACCCCACAACTAAACTGCCCTGAAAATTAAATCACACACCAGCAGGCAGCTGCTTTTCTGAAGTACAGTCAAGTTGCACTTGGGTATTTTACATTCTTCCACCAGTGCAGAATATTCACTACAGGGTTTTTGGATTGGTGCAGCAATACTGTTAAATACAATTGTTCCCAGTGTATGGGACTGATCACCTCACTTCAGATGAGATCAGGTGGCTGGATTCTGGCACTGGCCAAGGGACGGGCACTGAAAACAGGATACAGCACCCTCTGAGTTTGTGTGACTACCTACTGGCCACCTTGCAGGCTGCTAAAATTAGAAAAAATAAACCCACATTTTTTCCTAGGTGTCACTCATATGAAAAGATAATATTGCACTGCATAACCACAATTACCAGGACTTCAATCTTGACCAATAAGGTGGAGTAGGAACATGAGACAGATTCAAAGCAAACCAGGGAATGACCAAGGCACAGGACTATTTCCACACAGTAGTCTGAACTCACTACACTTAGTGGCTACCATTACTGGTGTAAATGACACTGACTATAGGCCAAAATGTTTTATCACATTACTTTCATCTGAACAACTATCAGTTAGCAGAAACCACATGCACACATCCACAAAAGTCTATGAATCGATAAGATGTTACATCCCTGTAATTATGGCTACATTAAAGGTACACACACACCCCTTGAACCTCTGACACAAGAAAGCTGAAGATGAGGACGGGATAAGATCTGTTCTCTTTGGAGTTTTCTGCCTCCTGCCATGTCATCTCAAGCTCAAGTGAAGACCCACCCCTGTGACTAACATCCCCTGGGATGCTGCAGAGTGGAACAAGCAAAGCTCCAAATGGTCAGCTGCCATAATTAAAATGCATATTTCAGTCTTCTGCTAGGAGACCTCAGAGAAATTAAAATCTGTCCACACTACACTAAACTCTCTGATAGATAACTCAGGTTATCTGTCAGTGTCACAGATAACCATTTTCAGGTAATATACACCAATGTACTAAAGAGAATGTGCTTGGCATTCCCTGCAGAAGAGAAGGGAATCACACACTGAGGTTATCACCTGTCCATATTATTTCTCAAGTTCCCATTCAGACCAACTGAGTGAATGACACTGACTAGAAGGTACTTGGTTACACTAACCATGAGATACAGTATAGCATTTTTAGTTCCTTAAGACGGTTCAAAAGTTTGCAGAAACCAAATTACACCACACATTGACTTGTAGATGATTAGCACTGAAAAGCAGCATGCTTTGTCCCTACAAATGACATTTCAAGGAACCAACACATCCAACAAAAATATGAGAACCAGAGCTAAACAAATATCATGTGAGCACAAAATGGAAACAACAAACAGATTTCTGCATCCATCATCCTGTGTTTCCCCATTTCACTGGGAACAAGAGCCACACAGGCTTCCACAATGGCTGTGGAGGCCAAGAGGAAAGCTGTCCTCTATTACTGAGCTATAAACAAAGTTATTTACAATTCGAGACATAAATCTTGTTTTATGTTATAGTCATCTGGTATCCCATATACTTAGCACAGTAACATCTATAAAAACTTCTCTTTGCTGTCAAACATAGCTACACTGTGTTTTTCCCTCATTGAATATATATGACACTTTAAAAACAAACAAACCAAGCAGGAGACCAGTTACAGCCCCTATGATCTTCACAGCTGACACTAACAGCAAAGACTAGAAAGTGAACATTCAACACAAAAAACTACTGGTTTTTCGCAGATCTTCTTATTCAAAGTAATAAAACAACCAACAAAAACACCCCTCACACCACTAAAAAACAACTACCCATCATTTAGAAACTGATATCTTGATTTTTTTTTAAAGAATCTGTATTGGTGGTAGTGCAAACAGTTGCTAAATCTTAGTGTAATTTTCTCTGGCATGATCTAATGCACAAGCACCAAATAAGATGGGGAATGAGTGTCATCATACAACTATCAAAAGTGGGAAATGGGATTTTCTGTTACTTGCATGTGGGTCAGATCCAGGGAGTGTATGAAGCTGAGATTAAATTATCCTCTCAACACACTATTAAAAATTTCCTGAATGGCTTCCAGCTGACAC